GTTCAAATGCATATCTGATAGTCTCACTCTGTTTGCCGCCAATTCATATAGATTATTTGATATTTATATTAAGGTTATGCAGAATATTCACTATATTTATACCAATATAATAAAAATCATTAAAACACATAGTTTCTATACCTTCATGAGTGCAGTCTAAGTTCGTACATATAACTTATTACTTGCATTTTATTGATTTATTTCATACAAAATATAATATCCATAGTATAAAGTATAATAATTAAATCTCGTTATAATGAATCGGAAATTTATTATTATAAATTATTCAATTGTACATTATTTGTTAAAAATTCATTTGTTTTTATTTTAACTTATTTGTTAAGTTTAATACAAATAATATTTTAAAATGCTAAATATTAAAAACAATACATTAATAGCCCTTATATTATAACGAGTGTTGAGTTTACTATACAGGTATTAACAATAACATTTAATGCAAAACTGCTATTAATTTCAAGGGTACTACCAGGGTGTGCTATTCAAAAAAGCCTATGGACAGACATAAATCAACAGTAATAATTGTTGTCAATTAAACAAAATTACAGTGAAATACAATAACAATCTTTAAATATAATCAAACGCAAGACTATTGTAAAATGTTATCTAAATACTTATCTACATTAGTAGTCATTGATAGAATTTTAATGTATTTTAATTGTTCCCCCTGTCTCATAATGAGACAGGGGGAACAATTGCATGTCTATAGGCAACTGCCCATATTATAACGAATATTTAATTACCATGTTTTCAAATATAACTAAATATATTATATTAATATTTGCTTAAACTAATCAATAATATAATAAATGGAAGTAATATTAGTATTCTTTATAAACATATATTTTATATAAAAATGAATTTAAAAACTTATAAATATTCTAAAATAAATGAACTTCTATATTAAAATGCCTTATAAGTACTCAATATATAAGGTTGTAAAAATACTTGTCATCATAAATATACTAAATAAATGCAAAAATTAAATAAAAATTAATTTGAAAACTCTTTAGCTGACAGAAATTGGAAATAACTAGCTACAAACAAATTAAAGTCGATGACCTTGATGTTAATTAGCAGCAAAATGTAATAATTTAATTTTACCGCCCTCCTTTCCCTGAACATTTGGTGATAGACCTCGTCAAGTCATTCCGACTTTCACATTCGTTGATGGTTGACAATAATTATATAAAATATACACTGTATTTGTAATTCCCATTAATTTTGATGTCTAACTCCCAAAAGTAATAATAATTAACTTTTATTATTCAATTAAAATCCTGAGTTTTCAACAAATATTTTAATTAATTAAATATTATTTTGATATGTATTAAATATTAGGCAATCCACTAAAACATTTCAATAGATATCTGTCACTATTGAAAAACAATAATTACATTTAAAATAATTACAAAACATAAAAATAAACAATAGTATATTTGTAAATCATTTATTATATAAAATTTAAATTGTACATTTATTTTGTTAAAATAAACAGTATATGCATGGCATTAGTGTATGATTTAATTGGGATGGCAATTAATAATTATTTTAAAATGTGTTAACAGCATAAAAATCCCCCGAAAATAACATAATTGCTAAACATATACGCAATGATTTCTTTATGGGATAATTAACTAACAAAAAAAGTACATAAAATAGATAAAAATAAGCAAAAACTTAATATTAAATAATCGATTGAATAATTTTCACTAAATTTTTATCAGATTTGAAATAAAATTCAAACAGAAAAACGAGTTTTTGTCTAAAATTATTTTTTATAAGAAATAATAAAAGTGTTTCATATTTTAACAAAAAAGTTTTAAAGAACTTTTGGTAAAGTTTTAGACAACAAAAAATTTAACAATATTTATAACAAAAAATATAGCAAAATCCCAATTCATAATACAAAATGTCCACGAGCAAAGACTTTACTGGGAAAGTGATCTTGGTGACAGGTAGTAGCGGTGGTATGGGGGCCGCCATGGTCAATTATTTTGCCCGCAAAGGAGCACAAGTGGTGGTCAACGGCCGTAATGGGGCTAATGTTGCTAAAGTGGCCAACGAGTGCAATATCGCATCACCTAAGAGTAAGTTTAAGATTTTTTGGTTATAAATTGTTAATTATAATATTTACAAGATATCTATAGTATAAAATAATTCTAATTATTTAACAAATCATGATTCTCTGATTTTAAATGATATTATAAGTTATTATATATCAATTGATATCACTTCGTGAAAACTGTAAACTTTTCGCGTATAAATTTATGTTTTAAGTAAGTAATTTATATTAATTATAAATTGGACTCCCGCTACACGTTTATTTCTATTATATTTTACAATCTCTCTCTCTCTCTCTCTCTCTCTCTCTCTCTCTCTCTCGAGATTTTTCAAACATAATAGAAATGATCAATTGTGTACTAATTGTCTAAAGTTGCAAAATAGTATTAATTAATATTTATCCCATAATTATGTAGAGCTAAAAGCGTTGCAAATCATCGCCGATGTGACCAAAGACGATGACTGCCGTCGTATCGTTGAGACAGTGGTCTGTCATTTCGGACGCATTGATATATTGGTGAATAACGCGGGCGCCGGAGCTTTTGGCAGTATTTACGACCCGAAACTCATGCAAACATTTGATCACATGATGAAACTGGATGTCCGCTCTGTTGTATGTATTGTCAATATATTGTAGTATTAATTAGAAACCACTTATTAATGTGATCTAATGATTAGTATTCAAATACTTAGCTAGACCAAATTTAACTATTTTGTAAAATTAAACTACAGGTACTAATCACACAGTTAGCTGTACCGCATTTGGAGCGCACTAAAGGAGTTATAGTAAACATATCGAGTACATTGTCCGTTAAACCGGTAAGTTACAAAGTGAACTAGTTGCTTTAATGTTCTAGGTAAATAATTATTAGTTCTAACTAATACATTGAATAGAATGTGCATTTCATGCCATACTGTTTGGCCAAATGCGCTATTGACATGTTTACTAAGTGCATCGCGCTCGAGTTGGGACCCAAAGGCATCCGGGTCAATAGTGTCAAGTTAGTCACCATAAATTAATTAATAGTAAAACATTTAATATTGTTTACATTGTGTGCAATTTGTATAGTCCGACAGCTGTGCGGACAAACTTCCAGTCGGCCACCGGAGCCGGCGATATACTGGTGGGTGTGTTGAAGCACTTGGAAGAGACCAATCCATTGCGTCGGATCGGCACCACTCAGGATGTGGTCAATGCTGTGGCCTTTTTGGCCTCTCAGGAGTCGGCGTTTGTCACCGGCACTCATCTTATGGTTGACGGAGCGTCCATTCATGTGTAGTACACATATCCATACGAACAGCTACTTTACGCAGCCCCTACCCTCATGAAACCCTGTTAGCAATTTTAGTACTTACGGTTAATGTTTAAGCTATGCACTTTTATAATTAAATTTTCTTTAGTTTCTTTTGAAATTAGCAATGAATAAAATTATTGATTAATAATAAAGTCTGTATTTTATAATTAAATTTAACCACAATTTGCATTCTTCTGATTAGATTTATGTGAATTTTTTGCGGTTTAGATTTTAAAGAATTTGAGTCAAAATGAAATAAAAATAATTCAAAATGCAAATGTAGACTTTTAATGCATTGTAACTTATTATTTTATGTATTTTATACTTTTAGGTATTATAACTTTATGGACTGTTATGGTTAATATGTAGAAAAATCTATTTATTTATAATTATCAAACATGATAAAATTTATGGAATAAATAGGTTAATTTTAGTCAATAGAATTAATTGAATTTAAAACCAACAAATAATTATTTTTAACTCACTCACTCATTCACTTACCTTTTGGTTAATAATAAATTACCATTTAATTACACAAAATTATTTAATTAAAAGTATTTTATTTTAAAATTATATAAAACGTCACCTAGTCAAAACAATTTAATTAATTATAAGCCAATCACTTAAAATAACCCTACTGATTATCATCCATAATCATTTGGGCGCCGTATTCGCCAATCATAGCCGTCGGCGCATTTGTATTACCATTAGTAATATCGGGGTAAATAGAAGCGTCCACTACCCTCAACCCGCGGACACCCCTAACTCTAAGCCTCTCATCTAGCACAGTATCTGTGCCATTGCCCATTTTACATGTGCCCACCTGATGACCCACCGTGTTTGTTACTGTACGGGCGTAACACTCCAGGTACTGATCGCACTGGTGTAGGGGTCGGCCGTCTGCACACAACTGACACCCGGGTATCGGCTGTTTCCATAGGCGCACATTTTGACCAAACTTACCCGTTTGGCCCACAATCAGACCCCAGCGAATGGCATCCATCAGCGCCTGTATGTCGTAATAGTTAGACAAATAGTTGGTATCTAACAAGGGGTACACGTGTGGGTCGGTTGACTGAAGCAATAATCGTCCCACACTCCGGGGCCGGTAGTGAAAGCATAGGATGACCATTCGGTTATTGTCACCCAAATGGGGCCGATAGTAGTCCTCCCATTGCGCTATATTTACGGCTTTGTTAAGGACGAGGGCTGACAGGTTATTGCCCACGGCTGCCATATTCAGGTCAATCTGCAGGTCTGGCCAATTGGTTTGGGCGTTGAGATGACTGTTGAAGTACTGGTATATGAGTGGGAATTGGGAGAGAGGGCCGGCGCTGTTCACGTAGTATTGGTACAGGTTTTCGACGGTTAATGTGTTGCCAGACGTGACCAGAGATGAGTTGAGCACCTCGTAGTCCAGCTGTACGTGAACGTGGTCTTTGAGATTGTGTCCCACGGGTAGGTCTACCAGCACTGGTATGTTAAATTGATTCAGGTGTTGTCTGGGACCTATGCCAGATAGCATCAGCAGGTGTGGCGAGTTTATAGACCCTGTGTTGGTTAATAAACATGATGTTTAATATTAGACAAAAAACTGCATATTTTAAATAATGGTAATATTTATAACATTTATATATTAAATTTTTACAAAATTATTGGAGAAACCATCTGAGTCTCTACAATAGTATTCCAAATATTAAAATTTTTAAATTATAATTTATAAATTAAGCTCACTAAAGTTTTTTACTTTTAGCAAACTGTAATTTATCAAGTAAACACTATTACTTTGTTTAAAATGAAATCAAAGCAAATATAATAATAGACGTCAACTGAGTTTTCATCATTCACAGTATTAAGACTTTTTAAAATTAATAATTACTCTAACAAGTTTAAATTATATTTTATGTACAATTAACCACTACAAATAAATCACACTAAAAATTGCAGTTAATTTTGTTGCATGATCAATTACATTGAATGTTAAAAATAAAACACTGTACCTGAACTGAGTATAACCTCCCGGCGGGCGTACACCATATGCTCGCTGCCATCCCTTTCATATACCACGCCATTAGCCCTAACAACTCCGCCCTCTGTCGATAACAACAATCTTATGACCAGCGCTCGGGTCAGCACCTGTAGGTTCTGGCGAACCCCTCCCCTGGCATAGGGCTCCAAATAAGCCGATGCTGTTGTGGATCGGGTAGCGTTGGGGTAAATAGTCTGTTGAAAATAATTTGCACCCAACTGTGAGGCCCCGTTCTGGTCCACAAAAGGCACCCCACCCTCCAAAAGGGTGTTCAGACCCATCACTATAATGGGGTCCGGATTCTTAGGGGTCGACACTACCATACGGCCAGATGTCGAGTGATAGCCCGCATTCTGGGCCACCAGTGCTGAGTCGGTATTATTTTCTGAGCGCATGAAATATGGTAACACTTCCCGGTAAGACCAGCCCCGGGCGCCAAACACATCGGCCCACGAGTCAAAGTCTTTGGCGTTGCCGCGCGAGTACACCATGTAATTTAAATTATGTGAACCGCCCACCACTCGGCCCCGGGGTATTGGCACCCGACCGCCCCACGCGAATCCGGCCCCGGCCTGCTGTGTGGTCCGGAAAGCCCAGTCAACGTCGCTGCCCAGTATGCGGCGCTCCATCGATGGCATGTCTGTCAGCACAGTCTCCGGACCCCCGGCTTCTAGTACTAGTACTGTACGGTCCGACCGTTCCGATAGTCGACTGGTCACTATCGACCCGGCAGTGCCCGAACCGACCACTATGTAGTCGTATGTTGTGGCCAAAGGTTGAGTGGTCTCAATGCTGGAGTGATGTCTGGTCCGTTGCAAAGTGATTATAGATATAGTGATTAGCTGTAGACTTAGACTGGGCAGCCCCGGTAGACTGGCCAGTGGCGCCGGTGTCACAATCATATTGTTTTTTAGTGGTATTTATTTGTCGTATATTTTGTATGGTTTTGGTTTGGCTTTTGATTTATGTATTTTCTAATGCAGTTAATATGTGTTTGATTTTATTAATGGATACTTTTGTTTTGACTGTTAGCCCGCATTTAATTAGCATAGTACCAATTATTAAATATTTTGTTATAATTTATAATGACATGTCACTGAACTTATATGAGCAGTAATTTTGCAACATTTTAAATTGCATTTTTAAATTAAATTATAATATAACGTGCAATTTATATAATTAGACTCACCCTAATCTTTAAATCATTAATTAATAAATATTTTAGCTTAAATGTATTAAATTTTATTAAATATAATAATAAGTCAAACTGTAAAGTTTAAATTAAAATGTATATTGTCAATATAAATAATTTAGAAAGATTTTAAACTGGTCCACACAATATCCTTACATTTTTTCAATATTTTGATAGCATACTGTAACTATTAATTTTAATACTTTATATGTTATAATAATAACATGAGAATCTTTTAAAGTTGGGTACAACGGCTTATTTCACATTATCATCATTTATTTTTGCATATTTCATTCTAAAAATTAGTTTAAAAATATAATGATATAACAAATAACTTTCACTTATTTTCACTTATATAATTAAAATTTTAATAATCACTAAATATTTAATCAGTAAAAATAATTCAGATATTATTTATTAAAAATTTTATAATCAAAAATGTTTTTCTATTTTAAGTAACCACATGGTAAAGAATCTATTTATATATTTGTGGCAAATATAAAATACAATAAGTTTTGCGTAAATTCAAGATTAAAACCACAATTTCGCACACAATATAATATCTATCTATTATTTGACGTAAATTATCATTCTGTTTTAATATTCAAAAATAGTTACGGTTTTGATGTTTAAAAATTGGACGTAAAATAACACTATTTTATAACCATATTGTATTAAATTTATAAAAAATATTTAGTATTTAATGCCAACAAATAAATTGTTGATATATTTCCTGTAAATTATGTTTTAATTAACATTTCTATTATTCAAAAAGCATTTTAAAGAAACTATTTTTTCTAAATCAATAGTCAGTTGAGTGTTAGGTTTGCTCCGGGTTTGGTCTAACACTTGTATTCATACAATCATTTGTGTGTAAATTTGCATATATTGTGTACAAAATTAATTCATCTATTTTATTTAATAAATTGTGTATTCTTTATATGTAAAATATTTTTACTTGAAAAGTTTTAAATCTTATTATAATTAATTTTAATTAGTACAAAGTTTTGACGCTGTAAGTAATATAATTTATTTAAATTTCCATGTCAATATTTAACTTAAATTGTTTAGTTACATTTAGTATAGTTTTAAATATAATTAATTTAATTTTTATAAGTGATATATTAGCCCACATTTGTTAATTATTAAAAGTTAGATGTGATTTAATTAACGCATTTCCGCATTATTTTATTATTAAATAATATCACTATTTATAAAAATTAGTTTAATTTACTAACAATATTGCCTAACATATAATGATGTTAAAAGATTTTATATATTTGATTATAAAATGTAAATTATGTACCTAGTTTTCCAATTTTTAGACAATATTTATTATAAATCTTATCAATTTATAAATTAAGTGCGTTTTTCAAATTTTATTACATTATTTATTAAAATTATTGGTTAGAGTTTTATTACATTACAAAATTTAACCAAATTTTCAAAGTTTTAAAAACATTATTTAATAATTTGTTTTAATTATAATATAATTTAAATAAACAATAGATAAATTGTGTGACAATGTCGGCCAACACTACGACCAACACCACCAGCACTGCCACCACCGCCGGGCCCTCCAAACCCCAGTTCCCGCTCAGGATATGCGACGACGATATTGTAATCAGTGGTATCAGCGGTCGGTTCCCGGAGTCAGACTCTGTCGACGAGTTTCGGGACAATCTCTTCAATAATGTCGATATGATTAACGGCGACGACAGGCGTTGGCCAACAGGTATTCAATCATTTAAATATCATTATAAAACACAGTGACCCTTATGTTTTATATTATACCTTGTATATAGAGTTGTATGGTATGAGTCCACGAATGGGCAAACTAAAAGAGCTTGATAAATTGGACACAAGTTTCTTTGGCATTGTACCCAAAGTAGCCGATGAGGTGGACCCGGCGGGGCGTATATTACTCGAGACCACCTATGAGGCCATTTGCGATGCCGGTGAGTTTACAATTAATTATTAAAAATTATATTTATAATAATAAATAAACAAACAAATTACTATTATCTAGGTATTAATCCGCAAACCCTACGCGGTAGTAATACGGGTGTGTATGTGGGCTACACATCGGTAACAATGCCAGACGGTGTGCCCCAAGAGGTACAGGAAGACATACAGGCGTCCAAAACGGAGTCCCTGTTCTGGTTTCAGGGCAGTAGTAAAGCCTTTTACGCCAACCGATTGTCTTTCATGTTTGACTTTCACGGCCCGAGTATGTCCATAGACGTGGCCTGTGCCGCATCCATGGTCGCACTCGATCTGGCTGTCACCGATATGCGCTTGGGCAAATGCGATAATGCCATAGTGGCCGGTGTCAGTGTTAATCTACAACCATTTACTAATCATATTTATCAAGTAAATGGCATCGGCTCTAAAGAGGGTATGTTGTTTATCATGTTACTTGCATTATTTAATTTTACCGTACTTAGTTCAAGTTGAGGTTATAGCTAAATTTAATTAATGCTTTGTAAAATACTCTCTCTCTCTCTCTCTCTCTCTCTCT